TACAAATAATCAAAATTAATTAATAAGTTATTAAAAATGATTTATAACGTACATAATTTAATTTAAATGCAATTATTTATTTTAATTTAATGTGTTTTACTTGAACGCATCAATTTAGATAACTTAGAAGTGACTTTCTTAATCGGAAAATTCCTCAAGCTTCCAAAAATCCAAAGGCATTCAAAGGCAAATTATATACCCCAACAGTTAATTTTGAGATTCACGATCCTAACCCAAAGGTGCATACATTTTTTTGGCTACTCCCCAGTGGTATGTCAACAAACAGTGTAACTTAAATGCGCAGTTCTTAATTCAATAACATATTGAACCGATATAATTTAAGTTTCAAGCACCGATTGGAAAACTTTTTGAGAGGTGCCGACTTTGGTTTATTTTGATTTTTGTTTCGCCGGCTAAAAAAGAGCGCCGTGCTCGCGCACTTTTAAACAAAGGGAGGCTGGGGCCGTGGCGGGCCGAAGACAGGAACACATGTTGCAAGATGGATAGTGTCGCCGGCTAATAAGTCATGTCACTGACAGGTCGGCGAGCCAAAAGGTACCTACCTGCGCCTCCTCTCTTATTCGAAAGCAATAAGAGGAGCACAATAGCGCGCGAGACTTTATTTCTGTGAAAAAGAAGAAGAAGAAGTGTCTGGCTGTTTCTTTTTCTTTCATTCTTTGTATACGCGTATTCGCTTCGCACCGACCAGAGCTATATTTCATGCAGAATCCTTTTCAAGCAGAGCACACACACACCTAGCTCGCAGCACGGTTGATATAAAAAGAAAATCGCGCCTCAAAGGATTATAAGAGGGAGAGAGATGAAAAATTCCTGATGATTCTCACCACTTTTTAATTTATATTTCATTTCTGTCAAAAATTATAGTGAGAGAGAAAAGATTACTAATTTAGGCTCTAATTTCCGCTAATTTTATTGTAAAAATAAACAGATCTGCAGAAAAAAGCGGAAAAAAGAAATCAATTAAACATGCCAAGAAGCCAAATGTTCCATTTTATGTTACCTAATTTTTAAAGTTAGGTGATTATTTTATTAAAAAAAAAAAAATGTAGTATCTAAGCTCTTTGTAAAGCTAATTAGAGACACCTTATAAAAGTTTCAAAAAATAAAGAAAATTAAGGTAACAAAAATCATATTTTGTCATCATTAATATTGTTGTCTGATATTAAAATTGGAAATCTGGTTTTTTTGTTCTTAAATAAATAAAATTATTTAAATTTTAAAATTATATTTAATTGAATAAATCGTGTATAGATCATTTAATTGAATAGAGCTTCACAGTGTGCAACTGCAGGCAATAAATGGAGCTGAAAAACCATATTATGTGGAAATTGTTAAAATCATCAAAATCTTCCCGACGTTCTTTCGTTTTCCTTGGATTATTTTTTACTGGAAATTGCGTTAATTGTACAATAAATATCTTTTCAAAATCATTCAAAATTATTTTTTACATGAGCAATAAATTAGTTTACACTGATCATTAATTATTAATATTTTACAAGCATTGTCTATAAAAAAAATCATTTTGAAAATCAGATTTATTATTTTCTATGCGCACTTGAACAAATAATATATCTATCGGACATAGACTGAAAATATGTAGATAATATTATAATGTATTTCGTTTTAGGCTGCGCGGGGAATCGACGCCGTAAGTTGTGCCTCTTTATGGCATCAGGTGACTGCTTTATCTCATCAGGTAATTGCTGCTTGTCGGGCTCGAATAAAAGTGTTTTGGTGCGTGTAACTGCGCGCGAGGCCTCCCCTGCTGCCCGCCCGACTCTTTTTTATGGACTATCGGCCCGGCAGCGCGTCTCAATCTGGTCCGCGGGGGATCAGGTACTTAGCACTTTTTGAGCCGGGTTGCGCCCAAATTTACGACAACCCTTTTAATTACCCACCGGACCCCCATAATTTAATAAAAATTCATTTTTCCTGCCCGATCGACCAGCGACAGAGACGCTGTCGCGAATTTTTAATATGCTTCGGCCACTTCTCTCCGTATAATAACTTATGCGCTTAATATGATCGTGAAAATGCACATAAAAAATCCGCGATGCTTTTTCGGCTCTTGTGTGATCGCTGCGCCAATGTATTTATTTAAAAAGCCATTAAAACTTGGGATGGCCAGATATTTTTGTAGGCAGAGAAGAGAGTGGGAAATAATTTACTAGCAATAAAAATGAAACAAGTTAGTATTTTGTGTAGAGTAATTTTCTGAGTTTAAAACGCTTTAATAATTCGCTTTAAGGAGCAAATTTATTGATTGAAATTTAAAATTAAACAATGAGGTGATATTTTTATATCAAGGTTTTTCCAAACTGTAAATTAAAATTAGTTCATGCAAAAAAGAAAAGACTGGAGAGGCCGAAAGTGAAAAAGAGGGGCCTTTTGTTGAAAATAAATACATTTTTTTTAATTAAAAGCTGCAGATATAACACCTTATTTTACCACTTTCGGCCGCATTCAGCATTGCACAAGCCAGTTATTTAATATAAATTTTTAATAAAATACCCTCAGGGAGGACAATCTTGTTTTTCACCTCAAAACGTGTAAGTACCTGAGTACAAATATCTGCTTAAAAGGCAAATTTTTTGTTTTAAACATGAAAATGAAATAAGTTAATTATAAGTGTAAGATTATAATATAAAGTAACTCTAGAAAGCTTTAGCTTATAATAATAATTAAGGCTATCGGCTGCTTTAATTTTGATATCTTAACCTCCTTTAATTTGGCCACAAAGCATCAAAACTTCAATTTGTAAAAGTAACACTATTCAATGAAGCTTCAATCATTTTTCTGCAGTAAAGTCGTAAATTTGTAATCATGTTCCAATTCAATGGGTAGATTTAGATGTTTCCCTTTTTGATATCAAAAGTTATGCAACGTGCGCCGCAGAGAAGCTCAACACAAAGCCTAAGGGCATTAAATTCAAGGGGTTTTATTGCAAATAACTGATAATATTTTAATTAAAAAAAATTTCCAGTTTAAATAAAATGATTAATATATTTTTTCTATATAGTTGAAATGTATTTATAACACTTTCAATTTTTAACTCTTCAAAATCTTAAGTAAGTATCCTAATTTTGAATCAAACAAAGCTCTTTGATTAAATTTTTTCTGCACGCGTTTGGTATATTTATTTTTATTTTTTTGCGAACGGGAAACATATATAAACGCATGATATAAAGGAAGAGAAATAGTTTCCTATTACTATGTGATTTTTGTCCAAATCTCATCCAATATGGCATGGAAGTGGATAGGCGTTGCGATATATTATGGTGCCACTGCTGCTTTATTTATTTATTTATACATTTTCCGATTTGAAATATTTGGTGATCACTGTGGTGCAGATAAAGGGAGAAAAGAAATTCGTGAGCGGATCTCCGAAGCAGCCATGCAGGAATCAATAATAAAGCATGACACACCACAATAAATACAAATACACATTTCCCAGCATCATCGCATCATCATCTGCCGCCGCCACTGACTGATTTTATATTTTATTATTATTAGTCGAGCCGTCGACCTGCTATAAAAACAATCGTCGCTTTTTCACCAGCAGCCATCTTCTATTTTTCCAACGCGAATCGCGCGCGCGTATTTAACCCTTCTCTCCTTTTTTTTTATTTGAATTTCAAGAGCTTCCGTTTTTTGTTTATCTGCTGTGCAGGGATACGCCGCAGCGATCGCGGATCCTATCAAAATAAAGACCAACTGAACACAAAGCGCACGCCTATCAAAGAGTCACTCGTCTGAGTGCTGCTTATTATTCTAATGTGTTTTCTTATTCCGATCCGATTCAAAAGAGCGGGCGTTTTCTCTGCTTTGTTTGCGCCAAGAGCTCTTGGGAAAATGACAACAAGCTCGATGCCACAAGAAAAGCGTTTTTCAATAGTGTGTGTGCTTTTTTGAAGTAAAATAACATTTATATATCTGACGCGCACGTCAGCAAAAGATTAAAATATAGCGCCGCATTTTAAGACTCTTATCAACCTTCTTTTACACAAAAGAACAATCTGAAGGGTTTGATATTAAAAAATTGATAGAATTTTGCTGTTTTAGAAAACAAATTGAATAAAATAATTGAAGCGATAATTTTATTCATAATTACGTGGATTTAATTATTTTAGTTTCCATTTTTATATCATTAATATTAATAATCATGGTGCACCACATCTATAAAAATTTTCTGGAAATCAAATGAAAAGCACCAGAGAAAATAAAAGAGCGCAAATCAGTAAAGAAATTATTTTAATGAAAATTTCATTCTCATTGGTAAGTTTCTTCATTTAATCTCCTTTGCTCATCCCTTTCCTCTATAAATTTTGATTATTAAATTATATACAGAACATTAAAATCTTCGGTTCTGATTTCTTGACAACAGAGAGGTCAGAATGCATGAATTAGCCAAAACCATGAATCACATCGGCTACAAAACGGCATCATTTTGATTTTTATAAGTGGTTGATTTCTGCTTGTATACGATCATCGAAATGAAATTGTTGTGTGATTGATATTTGAAATTGGTTTCAATGTCAATGTATAGCAATATAATTTACCTTAAAATAAGTTAAATATATAATCTTGAAAAATATAAGATGGTTCTTATTTAGGAATTTGCTAATGTTTCTATCCTAAAAATTGGGCAAGTAAAAATGCTTAAAATTTTGCCTAATAATTAATCTTATTACTGTTTCAAGTCACTTGAGAAAATATGCAAATTTTATTTTAATAGCAATATTATAATGAAATATTCGTCAAACATACAGAAATTTTTATAGTATATTTAAATGCCACGTTGTTAAATTATTACAATTCTGCGCTAATCTAGATTTTTAAATTTGGTTTTAATTATAAGTGAGACATGATAAAACTGCCAGTTTGAACATTTTGTTTAGGGTGAATAAAATATCGCGAAGAAACCAAATAAAACTTTTCGATTATGCAGAAAAACTATGTTTGGGAAAATAGTTTCCTACCTTCATGTCCTTGCTCCACGTGGAATCGAATCCTCGGACACGCGGCCTGCTGAGGCTCGCGGCTCCACAGTGCGAGTACGACTAGTGCTGCAGACGATGGTGCTGTGCGGCCGCAAGACTCCGCCTCTAAAAATGGTCCAGCGCGCGAGGAGGAGCCAGTCGGGTCCTCCGCCTGCCCTGCGCTCCATTCAGCGCCGCCGCCGCTGCCCCTAAAGATGAACAGAAAAAATAAATGTAAAAAGGATTGAGCGGCACATTGAGTCGCGAGAGCAAACAAAAGGTACGAAAACACGCGATAGAACGAAACAATGGAAACGATAGAAATACACACCGAGTCGGCCACTTTTTGTAGTGCGCGGCTGATCAGCACTACGAACGAGCCCTCCAGAGAGAGGGATAGAAAAGCAGCTCGCCTCGCGTGAGTTACGCGCCTCGAATTTTAACGAGGGCTCAGATAAAGTATTGAAATCTTTTTGCTTTGCAAAACATGCAGCGTCGGAAGAAATTGAATAGCATCAAAATAGATTTTCAGCTCAAAATACTAAATCTAATTTTTCATCTAAAAGTTCTCAACATGCTATACAAGACTTATAAAAAACCATATGAATTGTCAGAGTTGCTAGCAGAGGAATGTTTAGAACGACAGCGGTTTTATTGTTCAACATTAAAAAGACTTTTCAAGAAACAGGACAAAGCCTTATTTTGTTAATTGAACTACTTTATTATTTTATTTTAGGTTGATTTGGAACAGTTTTAGTTCCACGCGAAATTGATTAATGAGTAAGGCTACACAATTTTCAATTAAGATGCTCAAATCTAGCGGACTTACTAAAATTAAAAATTGAATATAATTTGGCGTCAAACAATTAATTGCAATTATTAAAAGTTAAAATTTTAAAATGACATAAAAAAACAATAAAAGACGCTATTATTTTTGTTCTAATCCCTTAAAAAATGCTCATCTTTTCGAAATATTTTCCATTAATTTAGAAATATCTACTATGCAGGATCAAATATGCCAAAAAGGTTTAAAGAAAAGTTTGAATTATAAATATTGAAACCTAAAAATAATTGATTCGCGTTTCTTAAATTGAATTTAGGATGATTATAAATGTGTTCCATATAATGTTTCACACTGATTCATATATCTTCTCGATTTGAAAGGGTTCAACTTCTGTTATAACAAAACAGATATCCAATACAGTCAACCCCTCTGCTTTTCGTGAATGCGTTGAACGGATTTTGCACCTGACAGCGATGAGAACGAAAACACGGCGCAAGAAATGCCACCAGTGAGAAAAGCAAAAGTCCCACGAGACGCACGAGCGGTCTAATCTCATCAGCCATTCACAAATGGTTCGGCGCCGCGGCGACTGCAGCTTTCAGAGCCACTCGGAGGGAAGTAATCCTGTGGTGAAAAGTGCATTGTCCGCGAGCAGTGGGCGCGATCCCCTAGCGAAGGCACACATTATTACCTGGCCTTTTTCGACACACATCCGCGCACTTTGACTTTCTGTATTGAAGAAAAAGACACATTTATTTTTCTTGGTATTCGGCCAAAGATCGAGCGTCACGCGTTTTATAAAACGCGCAGCAGAAAAGGGAACGTTTTCCTTTTTTTCCTATTGACCCGTCGTGAATAAGAAAAAGTGAGCGCAGCTTTTGTACCAAAATGACGCACAAAAGAATCCCATAAGGACCGGCGCTGTGCATGAGACGCGCACTGTTTGCTTTTCTGTGTGCATTTCTGTGCATAGTGTGCATCTATTTTCCCGTTAAAGGTGCAAAGTTGGTAATTTTTTCTATTGAAATCCCAAGTAAAATTTTAAAGCTTTGTAATCAAAGGTTAATATAATTTACATCACGCAGTTTTGTGCAAAAATATAACAACACTAAAATGGCTCATAACAATTATTATTTTTGTTAAATGCTAATATGATTATAGACAAAAACAACATTTACAAAATTATAGCAAATTTTTTCACATTTAACTTTGAATTATCATAGGTATAATTTAATTAGAAAGATATTTCTGATTGATTTTATATGGTTTCATTTTTACATCCAGTTAGATAAATACAAAAATTTTCTAACAACTAATCCCTCTAGCTAAGTTTCATAAAAAAAGAGGATTTGCCACTAAATAATAATAAGTTATGACAAATTTTGTCGAATCATAATGGACTTCAAATAAAGAAGCATTTAAATGTATAATAATTATTATTATTTCAACTTAATTGTATTTACCTGTATTTATGATAATAAAATAATTATTTAAAAAATATATTAATGCTAATTTTTTTACTAGATTTTATATTTAATGATCGTTTTTGGAATCAGTTTTTGGAGAGAGGAGCAAGAAGATTAAGCTGCCGAATGTAATTTTGGCATTAGGACATACGTCGGTGGGCCGTGAAATAATCGACCGCTGGCGCGGGGGCTGCTCTTTATAATATATCGCTCTGTAATGTGGGATCCGCCTCAGGCCGCAACTTATATTGCACCATAATAGTGTCACGGGCCTGGAAGTAATCGCCGCGTAAACTGCCACGCGCGGCAATTCAAAATCATTCGACTCTGCTGCTGGGAACTTGTTCAAAAGGGAGTCGAGAACTCCTCACACATCTCACACATAGATATAGTCAATGGGAAAATAAAATTTCCCTGAAGGCTTAATTATTAATTGCCAAATTTTATAATATTTTGTTATATCTTACCGTATATAAGTTGGAAGAAAATAAAATCAATTTGAAAATGAATGTAGATTTTGGATAATAAGTATATTATTATATATTATTTATAAAATTGTATTCATGTTGTACAGTGTTTAATAAATTTCTGATGATAAAATTGTATTGCAAAATTACCAAACTAATTTCTTCATTATAATTGTTATCATACTAAAAATTATTCATATTTTTGAAATACTTTTCATAATTATACAAAGTTGCCCTCCTCAGAAGTAGAGTATTTTGACCTGCAGCCCGCATATAGGGGGGCACTGGAGAGAAATGTGCTAGGGAGCAGCTTGCTGCGTTTCAGCCCATTATGCTGATACTATATTACCCCCAAATAGACTCCCCGAAACGATTTTCATGAGGTCGCCTCCAAATCGGACACGGCAGGACAATTTTAAAAGGAGAGCCATATATCAAGTGGTGGAAAAGAGCGCGCAGCGGGGGTGGCTTCGTACCTGCGCGCTCTTGTCAATGCCCTGAGACCCTCTGCTGCGTCCCAGGCAAAAACAGCTGCTGCTGAAGGAGCAGATAAAAAGTCAATCATGTTTGCAGCTCCTCCAAATGCTAGTTTATTTGTTATTATATACATTGATATTTTTCACAAGCTGCAAAGCTGCTTTTCAGCAATTGTGAACCGCGATTATAAATGGGTTCGACCTGGCGTGTTTGAGGAGTGGCGGACAAATGGTCCGAAAAGGTCCCTCTCGTTTTGAGTGATTTGACAATTTGTTTTTTACTTCATTTATTTTCGTCATATATGGGAAACGATTGGAAGAAATTGAAAAGGACGAAGCAGGATAATTTTTCTTATACTCACGTTTTTATGAGGATGCTAAGAACAAAAACCTTGAAGTCTTGATCAAGATTATCTACGCAAATGAAGCAATTAATATAAAACAGACTGATGGAACAAGGAACATTTAAAAAAAATTATAATTTTTGTGACAAATTTATTTACATAGGCAATATATCTGCTAATACGTGCAACATGGACTGACCCCTGTGAAAAATTTAAAAACATAAGCAAAACTTCAATACTAATTTTTTTGTGCGATTAGAAACATTAAATTTTCCCGTGCCTATATATTCTAACAATAAGAGACAAATAATTGATGATTTTTAATTTTTATTCTTTTCGTGTTTTTAACATGAATCTCATACTAATTGATTGTTGCAATTTGTCACATTCCCAACAAAAACACTCGGGTCTGTCAGTGCATTTAACAAATCAATTCCCCTGAGAAAAGCAAGTTGCGATAATTTTGTAGCTCTCTATCCAAATAACAGCACGGCGTAAAGTTGGGTGCGTTTATCCAAATGCACCCCGTGGGAGGGTGTTGTCATGCATAATGACGAGTAATTGACGCCCCCACAGCCTCCCTTTGATTGCACCCTCATGCATGCATCTCAAAGCGACGCTTTGTTGCGACAAAATAATCGCCCCTGCGCTCGCGATGCAACACCGAATAATAATTCGGCGGGGAATAACAATTGAATATATTTCCTGCTGAATCCTACACATATTCAGTGAAAAAAGAGTGCATCGTTTTTTTCTCATCATGTCCGCACTAACATGCTAAAATAATTATGCGTCGTTTATATTCATAAAATATAATATAGTTTTTACTTTTTCTTCAATTTTTTATTTAATATGGATAAGCTGAAATTAAAAATTATGGAATGGATGATTTGAAATTAATTAATTAATAAGTTAAAACATCAACTGATAACTGATTTAATAAAATAGGTGTATGAAAAAGGTTTTGCATCAAATTTCAATTCATTTTAATTGTTTAATTGCTATAAAAATTATTGCCGAAAATTGATATTATAAGTGAATTAATGTAATTTTGATTTCAAGTGTAAACATATATAAGAATTTTTTTTAAATTTTAAGCAGAAATTCAAACTTATCTTTTGTTTTACTTGGGTTTGATGGACTAGCCGAAAGATTAATGATTAATAAAGCCCTCTGAACCGCTTAAAAAAATTTTATCATTTAAAATGGTCTAAAAAATAAAAATTTCAGTTTGCATTTTTTTTTAGTGTTACAAGTTGTTTTTTCAAAAGTGATTTTTTTTATTTTAAATACAATTTTTACATTGTGCTAAACTGGTGGTGTGGAAATTTTCACAACACCGCATAGCTTCTTGTGAATTTGTGATGTGAAATTTATGAGCTGTTATTCAAAATGCAAAACGGCGGCACTCTTTTAAAAAGACACCGCGACGATAATAAATATTAAAACGGGGAATAAACGCGGTGTGAGCGTGTTTTATTTTATTAAAAATTTATATGTGTAGATCAATAAATAAGAAAAGCGGCTTGATTTACGTACAAATGTACAAGAGTTGTGTCGAGGTGAAAGAATCGACGCTGCTGCTGCTGCATTTGCGCGCGAGGCGGCGGCGGAGTTTTATGCCTTTGATGGATGTGCCGGGCATTGTGTGTTGAGAGAGAGAAAAACAGCC